AATAAGACTGAAATTTGATTTTTTGTGTTCCACACAAAAAATAAATGCGGATGAATTTTTCATGTTGATTTTGCAAAAGGTCGTGAGAAGAAATATCGTAGGCGCCGAAAACTTTAGCCTATCCAACGCTGCTGGCTAGGCCTAGCCTTACCTCGATTTTAGGTTCTGCTATCACACATAAAAACGGCCGACATGATATTTTCCGTTGCTAGTATTGACACCTGTCTCTTATACACATCTAGATGTGTATAAGAGACAGATTTAAAAGTGGAGAAAAAGAAAATTACAGTATATTCAAATTTCAATCTGAGAGTGCCATTTCCAGCCAACTAGAGGTGTCATAACCATAAATTTTCTTACCTCAGCCCCAACCATGTTGGGGCTGAGGTGGTTTACACACCATCTGTAATAAAAGTCCTCCCTGGGCCCCTCTATTTCATATTTCTAGATCTGCCACTCTATTTGAAAATAATAAAAGATAATTGCATTCCTTAAAAAAAATTAGATACAACTTTAAAAACCTATAGACACCAGAGCTTCTGGGGCTTGAGCCACCTGCACCCCCAACGGGGCCCTGGGTAGCCCCTTGGCCCCAAAGCAAAAAATCGTGATTGGCGAAAACATTTAATAATAATAATAATATAATAAGTCGATTGCATTTTTGAAGAATGAATCTTTCAAACAAATACGTTTGCCGGTTGGAATATGGAAGTCTTGGAAGTAGTGGTCTTAGAAATGGCGTTAAATAGGTTTGTTACCAACTTGTCTTACCTGTGTAGGCCTAGGTATACTTAGCATATATGCAGTACTGTATCATGTATAGAATACGGAATGCTACTCTACTGCCTGGCGCGATGTAGGCCTAGGCCTAGACCCCTAATTTAGTCATAAAAACTATAATTTCAAACATTATTAGACGAACAACACTATTTGGAGTAAAGTACAGTAATTTACTTGTTAATGATTGATCCATGGAACTATCTATTGGAAGGCAGCCTAGGCCTGGCTAGTTAGGCCAGGCTGGCCCTATTAAAATGCTAGTTATTCGTCCTGGAATGTGGATGATGATACCTCAGAACTAGAAAATGGCTAGGAAAAAGGTGCACAGAAATAATTAACTTCTGTATGATACATTGGTTATAGTGTAACAAAATGGTGCAGTCCACCCCCCCCCCCCTATTATAAATAGATTAGGCCACTCCCTAATGCTGGGAGCCTATTGGCTATCTAAAAATAGCTGGGTTGGGATCTTAAGACCCATCGCCCAAGACATGTAGTAGTTGAGCACTGGATCTCATGAAGTTTAGAACTAGGAAATCCCGACGTTAGTGTTAATTAAGGTAGGACCTGTAGTAATTCTATAAAATAGTTTATAATCGAACTCAGTCATTAAGACTTGAGAGTCCAGTAAGGGACAGGCCTACTTATAGTTAACGGGAACCGGTCGGCGGCTGCTGTGTGCTCCGCATACGACATTGTATTTGTTGTTGATAATGGTACCAGTTTTATTGATCCAATAAATGCTATGAGAAACTCAGTTAATTTTGTTTGAAGTTTATTCAATAGTCGATCCGTATTATCTGACGGCGTGTCCGACAGACTTACTTACACAGGGCTTAGACTAGACTCTGAGACTGCTTGGCCGAATCCGCCACAATATATTCAGATCAGTTCCAAACTAATTTTCGACAAATGCTGCTCGGAAATCGGCCTTTATTTTCCGAGGAGGATAAATTGCCTGCACACACTCGAGTCTGAGTTACAACCACCTGGCCTAGGCGTGACCCTGCTAGTTCTTCCATGCTGGATCAATAACTAGTAGAGGGTCAAATGTCCAGCCAGTTTGATGGTCAAAATACAGGGGAATTATTATTACTGTACTCTACATTAAAAATGATGGAGAAACAAAATAACCTATTATACATATGTGCTATACATGTTTAAATTGTAATTGTCTTCATCTGTAATTTTTATTTTTATATTATTTATAAAAAAGTTCTATATTTATGAAATAGTTAATTCTATTCAGAATAATATTTTAGGCCGTGGCTATTGTTATACAACTTTGCAATGCATTTGAATATGAGCTTTTCACAGTGATGGTTAATATATATTTTCAATAAAAATTATCATTGATGATTAGTGCCAGGACTATTTCCTTATATTATAAAGATAATATCAATTCTAATTATTTTTGAATGGTGTAAGAATAGTCACTCTAAATTTTTAACTGGTCTGTTTTAACTTTCTTATTGAACTTCTCTAATAGGAAATGTCGACATGTTGGATATCGATGGATTCATTTGGTAGGTGTAACAGGTTATAGAAATCGGATAGAAGGGTCATCCCATCTTGCACACTCTGTGGTCGATTAGGGACTGAAGACTACCCTGGGTATTTGATGCTATAGATACAGGAATTGCTTGAGTGAGAATATTCGGATGTCACCTAATATAAAATAATTTAAAGCTGCTTTGGACTCATTAATATTCATAAATTAACGACTAAAGCTCATTACAATATTTAATTGTTACACACCTCAACCTGACCGACGTACGCGACAACCAGCCTTCTGGTGTTTGTACATGATGATACAGATACAGAAATTATTGATAAAAATGCTTGCAATATCTCATC